ATATCTTTATAAGAGACAATATAAAGACTAACATTTATATCTTTATAAGAGACAATATAAAGACTAACAGTTATATCTTTATAAGCGACAATATAAAGACTAATATTTATATCTTTAGTAATAAATGAATTGCATTATTTTGTTCATTTAATCTCAATTTGAGTTGATTAATTAATAGACTTTTCTTTATTCTTAGCCCAAATTCATTAAAGCCCTGTACAAGATTTTAATGTTTTCTCTGTTTATATGACCTTTACAATCGTTTTGCATGTTTCTTAATATTTGAGATCTCAAACTAAAATAACTTAAATTACATTTAGGACACCTATACTGATATATCACATTTGATGTTTGATAAATTGATATTCAATCTTTATATCTTAAAATTGTTTAATTCAGCACACTGGCTTAGATGAGCTAAAAATAAAGGAAAGTCTACTAAATGATGTACTCAAGCCAAGTTTAAATGAACAGAACAGTGAAAATTTATTTATTACTAAAGTTGTAAGTATTAGCATTCTATTTTTATTAAACTTCCTAGCTGATCAGAAATAATGTATACTTGATGATTGACTAGGCCTATTCCAAAAGCTCATAAGTTAACATCTTACTTCTTTTATTGTCAAGTTCAATATGCTTGCCGTGGCTTATAATTTAAAAGGAAGGAGGTTTAAGTAGTTATGTGTATCTAAATTATTATGGAGGGAGCTTATCTTCTTATAATTTAAAGGTTTACTGACTGAGGGCTAAATATACTTATAATTTTTATTTTGAAAGTCTTAGTCATTTTTCTTTTATTTGCTAAAGTTGTGTTTTACTACAAATTTCATAAGTCAGCTTAGGGTCATGGTGTACTGGTATAAGTTATGAGTGTTTCAATCAAGTCAGGTCTGATTCCATTGATAAGGACAACCTAACAAAATTAGGCCAGGAAAGGCTTACTTCAAGCAGCTGGGTTTGGGCCTCAGCTACCCCAATTTATTTACATTTTGATATCCTTTTCTCTAGTCTTTCTTGTTTTTAATTGGTTAATTTTGTTAATTGTAGAATGGAAACAGACCATTTGGCATCCCTTACTCCTACTATAAAATTACAATTTCCAAATTATAACCCAGGGGATGCCATTTTTAGAAAATACTCATGGTTGGTATAAAAGCACAAAATATGGATAGTGTGCCTTTTTATATTAATGTTTATCAGAAGTCTTAGATTTCCAAAAAACAAGTCAATTGCCACCATAATTATAAATAGATATCATCATCACAGTGTCAGTATTTATGAAAAATTACAATAATAAGTAGGATCTATATATTTTTAAACAGTGCAAAAAAAAATCATCATACCCAAATTCTATGGCTGAAGAGAATATACACAATATAAGAGAAAAAATTATTAAATTTTGAAATAAAATGAAAAATCAAAATTGATAAATTAACAAAAAACAGACAATTTCAATAAAACTCATTACTGGAAAATCAAATTAGCCAAATACATGATAATCTTCTTGTTAATTGGATGACTATAGAAAATGATAAAAATTTTAAAAGGAAATACTTAAATTATCCAAATAAGGTAATTTTTAATTTATCTAGTTATGATTTAAATGATCCAGAAAAAAGTATCCTACCCCATAATCTAAACTTTCTTATACCAGCAACTGTTGCAGCAATTGTCTAACAAAATTATATGGAGAGAGAGAGAGTAATAAATAATTTAAAGTATAAGAATGCAAAACAGGGGTAAAGGTCTGGTATCTCTTAACTATCTCACAGTTGGGTTGGTCTATCCGAATGGCCTCATAACTATTTTCAGACTTTTAGTAAACACTACAAGTAATTTTTACATAAAAAGCAGATTTTTTAATGAAGTATTTTAACTAAAGATTTTGCCACGAGCATATATATATATATATATAGTCTTTTCTTTTTTTACTAATCCATGTGCAAAGTGATTTCCAGATTAAGATTAAAAATAATTTTCTTCACCTCAAAAATTTCAGATTTCATTTGCATAACCTCTAATTTTTCTAAATAAATTTCAGTCTTTTTTTCAGTAAAACTTTATATTTTATCTGTAATTTTCTCTACCCTAACTCTATAAATACTTGATAAATTTGACCAACCCACATAGCCACCAAAAAAAAATCAAAATAAAACTAAACTACCATTTTTCTTTCTAGAATGACTTCAAACTGTAACACAAAACTCCATTTGTTTATCTTAAATAGCCTTTATACTCATAACTGTATACATATATTTATATTTAAATTTATATTGTTTTGTTGTCCTTTGAACCATGTCATCTACTACTCGTGCCGTTACAAGTCGTAACTCACTTGGTGAACCTGCAGCTCATGTTACTTTATCGAATTACGTTACATATTAACAACTCGCAAGTATACCTCACAAAAAATGTTTAATTGTATTATTATTATTATTTATTTTACCTAATCTAACCTTTAACTGTCAACTGTCAATGGCACTTAACCCTACTCTTTTTTTTATTCTAATGATAGTACTGCACTTAATACTTTTATACTTTATTAAATAATGCCCTGAAGAACACAGAATAATAACATGCAAAAAACAGAATATGTCCCATAGCTCTGACAACTTTTTTTGGTTTTCTAACTGTGCGACAAGAGCCTTTAGAAATTCAGCTAAGTTTGTTAATGTGTTTTCTGTGGCAATAAAACTTGACTTGGAAGTGAAACTGACAATTCTCTGTACAGAAAACAATGTAATATAATATGTCATTTAACAGAGTAAAAACCTTGGCTTTCTATTGGTTATAAATACAATGATACTTAAAATCAGAAAGAATTATTGGAAGTTTCTGAAAGAGAGAATGTGAAAAGTGGGCATAGCAAGAAGTGCCTAATTTTCTATTTGATGGATCTGTAACCAAATAAGATTAAAGAATATAAAAATTATGCCTTGCCTCAGCGATGACAATATTAGAAGGAGCAAGTTACATTAAATTCCATACTTTTCTGAGGGATGGTAAATAAATTAGGGAAGAGGAAATGCCTGGAGAGAAAATGTCACAATTCTCATATTACAGGAAATTCAGGATTTTTTTAATACTGCCTTACAAAATTAAGAACTTAAGGCTTATAAACTATTAAAATATGGATAATTAGCTATATTTTTATGCTATATTTATTTGTATACCATGATAAGAAAGTAGTTTAATTAAAGTTTGAATGTAACTTTGTGATTTGTGTGCAAAAGGATGCTCATGGTGAAAAGGTTAATTAGTATAATACAAAAAAAAGAATATTTACTAACATGAAAACAGGAATTTTTAACTATAAAAAAGTGTATTAATGAAGACATAGTGATTGTAAGACAAGATATAATGAATAGTATGGTTCTTATTAATAAGAGACACTAGTCACTAGTATGTTTTACACAAAAAGAAAAATTATTTTAGGATATATACTAAGCAATAAAGTTGACAGCAAAGCAACTATTCTGTGATTTGTAGGTTAATATGGAAAGAGAGCTTGTTAATAATCAACCTAAATTTGAGCTACAAATTTGTTATCTCTCAGTTCAAGAGTAATTGTTTCAAAAAATTAGCTAACAAATTCAGGGAATATGATGCAATTAGCATCATAAATGCTATAATCAACAAAATTCCAACAACTAAAACCACAAATAGTGATTAATATATCTACAACAAGAGCAATCGGTTAGAGATTGCATGATCTTGCCCCACTGCTTCTTTATGAGATTTTCATTTATACTGGATAACATCAAATTCAACCTTTGAAAAGTCAGAAAATCCTTTTCAGATCCAGAATGTTCAATGATCCAGATCATTTTCTGTAGTGTGATGAAAAGTCTCAACCTTAATGTGCCCATGAAATTTGGTACAAGTCGAGTCACACTTTACAGAGTTATTAACCCAAAACTGCAAAAATGTCCTATCTCTCCATTATAAAAAAATGCTTCAAAATGATCCAGAATCTGGATCCAGACAAAATGTGGGGAGGACTGGCTCATATTGGCTTCCCATTTTGTGTAAAAAATTCATATACATTGGTCTATTAGTTTGAGATATTCATTCAGAAAAACAGACATACACACACAAAAAATCTTGATTCCAATACCCTCACCCCCATCTGTTAATTACCCTATAATATGTTAAAGCCAACTGAACAACGTGAAAGACAACAATATTGTATTAAACAATACAACTAACCTGAAAATAGCAATTAACACAGAAGAAGATACCACCATTAAAGACTGAATGAGTAATCATAGGAAGAAGCTGCCTCCATAAAAGACTGAATGAGTAATCATAGGAAGAAGCTGCCACCATAAAAGACTGGATGAGTAATTATAGGAAAAGGCTGCCACCATAAAAGACTGGATGAGTAATCATAGGAAGAAGCTGCCTCCATAAAAGACTGAATGAGTAATCATAGGAAGAAGTTGCCACCATAAAAGACTAAACAAGTATCATATAACCAAAAACATTTATAACAAATTCAGTATTAATATTGTTGTTTCAAAGTTTATTAGCTTACCTTTTACAGATCCTTCAGGTGAAGAAGACAAACTTGGAACACCTGTACACCTGTAAACAGCAAACTGTTGTTCTTCATGATCACTTAGTTTTTTGTCACTTTCCAATCCAAAACTTTTTAGTGACTCATCTACTGGGTAATCAGTTTCTTTAGCACCTAACACATGAGTGAAAGAAGTATAAGTATAGGATTAATTACCATTAAAACATTAAACATATTTAGTAAATGAAAATAGTTAAAATCACTACAGTACAATACAACTTTGGGTTAATATCTAAAAGTTAGGTCAATCAGAATTATAATCAAGAACATATTTAACAGCAGTTTAGACAGGGTGTTTATATTTTGACTAGATCTTCTGTCTATAATATTATGAAAGTTATATTGAAATATTTAAAGGGTTGAACCTTGCTCTAATATATCATCTGAGCAGCAAACATTCACTGGGTTTTTTCACAAGAACCATAACTAAACAGAAAAGAACCATAAATGGAAAAGTCACCTGACCTGGTATCCAAAAAACATGGTATTTTATTTCACAATAGTACTTGTTACACAACTTATTTTATTCACTTTTTATCTAAATACATCTACAATGTTAAAAATTTAAAGTTGACACATGTCCATCACATATAAGTGATGTGAAAATGTTAGTTGAACCAATATTGTGACTTTCAAGCATGTCTTTTCCATGACGTACAAGTGATGTGAAAATGTTAGTTGAACCAATATTGTGACTTTCAAGCATGTCCTTTCCATCACGTACAAGTGATGTAAAAATGTTAGTTGAACCAATATTGTGACTTTCAAGCATGTCTTTTCCATGACGTACAAGTGATGTGAAAATGTTAGTTGAATCAATATTGTGACTTTCAAGCATGTCCTTGACATCACGTACAAGTGATGTGAAAATGTTAGTTGAACCAATATTGTGACTTTCAAGCATGTCTTTTCCATGACGTACAAGTGATGTGAAAATGTTAGTTGAATCAATATTGTGACTTTCAAGCATGTCCTTTGTATCAAGTGTGAAAACATTGTTTGAAATAGTATGTGTAACTTTTAAGTATAACTTTGCATCAAATACAAGTGGTGTAAAAGTGTTAGTTGAATCAGTATATGTGACTTTCAAGCATGTCCTCAGTATCAAATATCAAAATGTTAGTTGCATTAGAATGTCTGGATACATAATTTCTATTCCCATACATCCATATGTTAAAAATAGACAAAAATACATAAATTTCACATATAAAGCAACAGTAATCTTTTACTTTTAAAAAAATATTTATTATGTGCTTTATTCAGAAAATGAATTATTGTTTTTGAGAGAATCAATTGCACTATTAATTAATTAAACTTTAATATTTTTTTAAAGAAACATTTTACAAACTGTAATACACATCATCACCAAAAGAACAATAATGAAACTTCCGAATAACAAGGAAAAGCATTCAGATATTGAATAATGTTTGTACTGTGTGCCTTACATGATTACACATTATATTAACAAGTGGTTTTATTACAACATACTGACATATTTTTAAAGAATAACATTTTTTGGTTCATTTGTTTTAATTGCAAATAAAATCATAAACCTTTCTCAACAGAAAGTTTGAATTAAACCAGCTAGAGCATGCAACATACCTGGAACACTAGCTATACACAGAAGATGGGCATTAAAGTAATTAGTGCTAACAACCCAGCTAGCATCTTGGATTCATTCCATGTCTAGCAAAGTTACCTAGTGTGTGAAGAGCTACCAATCCATATAAAAGACGACAGTTTCTTGTCCAATGCTTCTGAAGAGTTCTGAATAAGAAGGAAAAAATCATGGAAATGAAAAATATAAAATGAAAATAATTTTATCTAAAAACTACAATATATATCAGAAAAACTACATTTTCATTTATCTAAAAACTACAATACATATCAGAAAAGCTACATTTTCATTTATCTTATCATTCAGATCCAAGTATACACAACTATTAAAAATACTATATATTAAAATTTAAACCATTCAGAACTAAAAATACCCATCTACAAAAATGATAAATCTTTCAGAAACAAGTAAACATATGTCAAGTACCTAATAAAAATGTTAAAACACACTTATAACCATTTTAGTAGATTGGTCTACTTGATTAAAAATATGTTTTAACATTTTAGTAGATTGGTCTACTTGATTAAAAATATGTTTTAACATTTTAGTAGATTGGTCTACTTTGTTTTAACATTTTATTAGATTGGTCTACTTGGTTATCAGCATGTTTTAACATTTTAGTAGATGGTCTACTTGGTAATCAGCATGTTTTAACGTTTTATTAGATTGTTCTACTTGGTTATAAACATGTTTTAAGATATTAGTAGATTGGTATACTTGGTTATAAACATGTTTTAACATTTTAGTAGATTGATTACTTGATTATAAATATGTTTTAACTGTTTATAACCAAGTAGACCAATCTACTAAAATGTTAAAACATGTTTATAATCAAGTAGACCAATCTACTAAAATGTTAAAACATTTATAATCAAGTAATCAACCTACTAAAATGTTAGACCAATCTACTAATATCTTAAAACATGTTTATAACCAAGTAGACCAATCTACTAAAATGTTAAAACATGTTTATAATCAAGTAGACCAATCTACTAAAATGTTAAAACATTTATAATCAAGTAATCAACCTACTAAAATGTTAGACCAATCTACTAATATCTTAAAACATGTTTATAACCAAGTAGACCAATCTACTAAAATGTTAAAACATGTTTATAATCAAGTAGACCAATCTACTAAAATGTTGAAACATATTTATAATCAAGTAGACCAATCTACTAAAATGTTAAAACATTTATAATCAAGTAATCAACC